CCTTTAGCATTTCTTGCATTGCTGGTTTGGTGGTAATAAACTTCCTTAGTCCTTTTTTGCCTGTGAAGCTCCTGATTTCACCCACAATTTTTATTGATAGCCTTGCTGGGTACAGTATTCTTGGATTCAGACCCTTATTTTGCATGACTTTGTATATTTCATTCCATTCCTTTCTGGCCTGATGTGTTTCTGTTGAGAAATCAGTTGATAGTCTGATGGGAGATCCTTTGTAAGTAACTTTCTGTCTCTCTCTGGCAGCCTTTAAGATTCTTCCTTTGTCGTTTGTGTTTGCCAATTTAATTATAATGTGTCTTGGTGTCGATCTTTTGGGGTTTATCTTGTTTGGGACTCTGTGAGCTTCTTGGACTTGTGTGAGTTTTTTCTTCCCAATATCAGGGAAGTTTTCTGTCATTATTTCTTCAAACAGGTTTTTTATTCCTTGCTCAGTTTCCTCTCCTTCTGGTACCCCTATTAGGCAGATGTTGTTTTGTTTTGTGTTGTCCCAAAGTTCCCTTAGGCTCTCCTCCTGTTTTTTAAGTTTTTTTTCTAGATGCTGCTCTGCTTGGGTATTTTTTCCTACCTTGTCTTCTAGCTCACTGATGTGGTCCTCCACTTCTTCTAGTCTACTGTTGATGCTTTCTATTGAGTTCTTTATTGCAGCAATGTCATTTTTCATTTCTTCTTGGTTCTTCATTTCTCTTGGTTCTTACACATGTTGTTGAATTTGTCTTCCATCCTTTTCAGTGACCTTATGACCATTGCTCTGAATTCTTTCTTTGTTGTATTGCTTGCCTCCATTTCATTTACTTCCTTTTCTGGTGATTTCTCCTTTTCTTTCATATGTGGGCTATTTCTTTGTCTCCCTATGATGGCTCCTCTCAGGGTTTCTGGTTATGTAGCTCTCTCTCTCCTGCATTGACTTTCTTTAGGCAATGCAGCTGTGTTTAATTCACCAGTTCTGGGTGGGTGCTCTTTGATTCAGCTGTTCCTTCTGCTCTGTGAAAAGGCACAGGGCCCATCCACAAATTCACTCGTTTGTCTCCCCCTGAGCAGACCTCCCAGGCACCCGTGGTTGGGGAGGTTGGAGTTCCGGCATTTGTGGATTTGCAGCTGAGGTAACTGGTCCCTGGGCATTGTGATTGTAAGGTTCCGGGAGGCATCTGAGATCTCCCTGGTTGAAGGTAAGGCTGGGGTTCCGATCACAGTCAGTCTCTGATCACAGCCATCTCCCCTTCAAGATGGCATGGCCTCTGCGGCAGAGCCAGCCCCTCCGGGAGAGATTTCAGCTGCAGTAGAGGCTGCCCGGTTACGTGGGGCTGGTCTGCCAGTCCCCAACAGTCCCTTGGAGTATAGCTGTCCCTCACAAATACTGACACTCCCTGCATGTCCACGCACTCTCCTTTCATTCTCTCACTCTCACACTATCTAGCAGCCTGCAGTCCCATTGACAGCCATCTTGGATTCCCTTTCTTTTTTATTTTCATTTCAAAAGACTGGTTACAGATTTCTAGATTATCAAACTGTCTAGAAATTTTAAGCTCACCATATTTTATAACATCTAGAAATTTTGTAGCATTTAGGCAAGACTAGGATTTTTAAAATAGATTTGAATAGAGATGATGTTAAAATGAAAGGGGAAAAAGACATTTCAAAGTGTACTATAAGCAGCTCTAAAGTGAAGTAGTGTTTTGAAAGTGTGAAAAGATAAATAGTAAAACTTCCATGATGATTACTATATAAAAAAATACTAATAATTTGTCCTTTAAGCCACTGAAGCCTATTTTATATATTTAAGGCCTTCAAAAAGATTTCTCTCATGAATTTATAACTGCTTTTGGTGGTAGGGTTTCTTTCCTTTAAGTATTTTATTTTAAAATGTATTTAGTATGTCATATATGGAAAAGTAGCCTGCTGTTTTTCTTTATAAAAATTTTTATCTGAAATAATAATGAAGTGTTCTAGAAAATTCATGGTATTTCATATTAACTATTAATGGGTTGTTTTAAAACAAAGAGATTATAGTCAAACCTCGTTTCTCAAACATTTCCCATCTTGAACAATTCAGTTCTTTTTTTTAATTGATTAAGGTATTATGTATGTGTCCTTATCCCCCCATTGCCCCCTCAACCCCCAACTCATGCCCTCCCCCCCTGGTGTCTGTGTCCATTGGTTAGGCTTATATGCATGCATACAAGCCCTTTTCTTGACCAAGTTTTAACAGGAAAAAAATGTCTCCGTGGATCAAAACTTCAGTTTTCGAACTGACAACCTTTTCATGCTGATACCTCAGCATGGCAAAAAGAATCTAGCAGGCAACTAGCAAAGGAGTTCCTGGTACTTAGCACAATTTTAAAACATAAAGAGGCAATCAAGAGTGCTAATGTTGCTAAGGGTATGAAAGTGTTCACAAAACAACAATCACAGGTAATTGAATAGGTAGAAGAACTTGTTGATTGGATAAAGGAAAAGCAGCTGGTGATAGCATTTTGGAGGCAGTGATATATGAAAAATTCCTTTAAGGCTAGTAGAGGATAGTCCTATAAATTTAAGAAAAGAAGTGTTTATTTTTAAACTAGAGGCCCAGTGCATGAAATTCGTGCACTGGGGTGGGGGGGGGGGTCCTCAGCCTGGCCTGC